TAGTCCACGCAGCCGCCCCGGGCTCTCGGCACACCTCACTCTGCGAGCGTGCAGAGCGCTGCTGCGGTGCTGCTGCGGTGCTGCGGCGCGCGCTCGCGCTCCTAAAAGGGTCGCTGGGCCAGGCGCCGAGGACGGAGTCACAACGCACGTCTGCCTCATGCCACTCGGCGCGAAGTTGCTGCTCCCTTGTTTTTGTGGGAGCTTTCTGGGTGCCCGAGCCGTGCTGCACGGGGGCCGCCGGAGCGAGGCGTCCGCGTCCCGCAGCTCGGAGATCTCAGCAGAGGGGAAAAGCGAAGCGTCTCTCTCTCTCTCTCTCTCTTCGGTCTTCTTCCTCTCTCTCTCGAGGCTGCGAGTGCTGCAGGTGCTCGAGTGCGGCGCCTCGCCCAGCGCCACCCTTGCAACGAGCAAGCAGCCTCGGCAATGTTGGCTCAACCGCGCGGTGGCTGTGTCAAGACGTGGCTACCAGTAATTCTGGCGAGACTTCTCTGCGGGGCTCTGGCGCAGGTCTGCCGGGATCTCACAGTTCGGCCGCCCTGCAGAGGCTCAGAGCAGCAACGCCGTCTGGGCGCCGTGACACGGGCCTTCCCACTCCTCCCAGCGCTCGGTGTAGGCGTCCGCCTTGGAGGCCACCTGCATCGGGGGGCAGCTCCGGAGCTCCTTCCTTTTAAAGGAGAGCCCACCGTGGTGAAGTAGCAGCCGATGCCAAAGGCAGCTCCGGTGTTGATGCCACCTGCCACTTTTAGGCCCTCTACAGGCTTTGAAGCGAAGCAGAAAAAAGCCGTGGCCATGCACCCAGGCGCGGGTCGAAGCCCTCACCTCGACAAAGGGACAAACCCCCTTTCGGCGCCCCCTGAATTTTCGGCGTTGTCTTTCCGCCGAGGCCCAGGCGCAGGATGCCGAAGAGCGAGTCCCACTTGCATCCGTGGAAGAGCAGCACCTCTGCCACGTGCGGCGGCGGCCACGTGCGCTATTTGAACGGGCGCTGCCGTCGCCAGGGCCTCGTTCATCCGGTTCCGGTCCCAGGCCGTTCGGATGGGAATCGCGCGAGACATCTCCGGCAGCGGCTGACGATCCGTTCCCCAAACCTCGAGACGCGGACAAAAACACACACCGCCGCGGCCCGACAAAAGCCCGCGGCCTCCTGCATCTGCGAGAGCTGCTGGTAGTAAGCCTCGCATGGCTCTGCTCTGGACCGCCTACGACGAGTCTACGAGGTTTCATCAGCCCGCTGCGTTGTTGACGATGGGATTGAAGACTTCGGAGATCCGGATGATCTCGATCTGTGGTGGCGAGCACCACTCTTCCGAGTCGTACATCTTTCCTTATCGCAGGCTCTCAGCTCCCTCATTTTCCCTCAGCTCTCCCTCGCAGTACTTCCGGGTCTCGGTGGGACATCAGGGAGCCTTGGATGTACTCCTGCACCGGGGCCGGGCATGGGGCGCTGTGGGCTGTGCGAAAAGCTCAAAACGGTGCCTCCAGCCACTGCCGCCTGGGATCGCTCGGGGCCTCGGCGCTCCACGCGCGACGTTTGAAGGCCGGTGGGGGGCCCTAAACTCCTAAACCTAAACCCTGCGATGAGGCGTCCGGCGAGGAGCTGCCGATCCTCAGGGGGCGCGTGGCCGTGGAGGCAGGAAAAAAGCTGATCGGAAGGGGACCCCTGCATAGGTTTTCTCCGGGGGCAGGATCCGGTTCTGCAAGGGGAAGACCCACTCGGCCACAGACCTCCGTGGAAGGAATGGTCGCCCCTCCTCTCACTCCTGACTCTTCTGCTCTTGAAAGGCACCTCAGGGAGTTGGCGCTGGAGCAGTAGATCAGCGAGGCCTGGGAAGCCGCGGACTCGAAGCCTCGGCGGGAGTGGGGCCAGAACCGCAGCTCTGACAGAGTCGCGCCCCGTTTGGGCCCCGGGCTGACCAAGGTCCCGGAGTTCACGGACTGCGAGGTGGCGGGCCGAGGCTCCTCCGGCCACAATGCAGGGCCGGGCCGGGCCGCAAGTGCCGCAAGTGCCGCAAGCAGCCTTGGAGTCCGTTTCGAGGTCTTTCTTCGCGACGAGCTCCCAGCCCACTTTTCGCACCTGCAAGCAAAGCAGCGAAGCGGGGGACCTTTCTCGGAGCATTTTCGAAGAAAAGCTCGGCTCCTCCTGACTCTTCTCCAGGCCTTGGCACCTGCCACACTGTGACACCCCCCTTTCGAATCGGCTGGGAAGACTCTGACTCCGAAGGGCTCCCCGCTCCCGGGCCTGGCTTGCAGAGCTTCCATTTCCGCGCGCTGATGCTCCGCCTGGGAGCACTGCTACTGTTTGGTACTAGAGCAACTCCAGTAGCTAAAGAGTCTAGCGCCTCTCTCTTTTCCGTCACAGCTGGGCTATGTAACAGTGGAGCTCAACAAAGAACTTCTTCTGCGCCTCCTCCTTGGCCTGGGCGGCCTCCCTGCGGCTCTCTGCCAGCGCCGTCTCCTGCGCCTTCGGGCCCGCGCGGTCGCATCAGATCACGCTCGCGATCGCGATCCCAGGCCTTCAAAAGGGCCTCGAGCTCTCGACACCTGGCTCCAAGACGTGAAGACAGCACGTGCAAACAGCGTGCCCGGCCTGGCTGCCGCGGAAGCCTTGTCCTGCAAGATTCCATCTTCATGCGACACAGGGCCCTTCGCATATCCTTGTCCCCCACGCCCGACTTTTCGTGGCTCTTCACGGCCCTTGTTGCGGCTGGCAGGGTGCCTGCTCAGCAGCAGCCAAGCGTTCTGAGAGAAGTCGGTGCTCCTACACGGGACATGCAAGTCTCACGAATGTGTGTCAAATCCGAGCATGTCGAGTTCAGGAATGAAGCCTTGAAACACCTGCACAACGACCAACACAAATTACCACAACTCACGCCCTCAACATGCAACACGCGCTCCGAAGAGAACCCCAACCACCCACCCACCCACCCACCCCAAGCCCAAGCCCAAGCCC